TTTATTAATTTCCACGATAATTTACGCCAGTATATGTACGAGAGATGTCGTTTATAAAAATCATTCTAATGATGACAAACCTCTTAACATAACAAAATATTAGATAATAAGTTACCTCTGTCAAGTTTCACGTGCGTATATATGATTGGTGATATCAGGTATATTTGCATTCATAAGAATACTTATTGATTCTTTCTTTATTTAGCATAAAACAAAGCAGTTAAGTTGTACGATTAATTATGTGATTGTAAGAATTATTCTTCTTAAGTGTGACAAAAAAATTTTGCCGCGTTGAATAAATACAATAGACATCGTTAATATATATGTACGACTGTATAAATCTATAAACAGCGTATTGTATTTTTGTTACATATAAACAAAAAATTCATTTTAAGTACATAATTTAGAACATTTTGTAAATTTCTGAGTTTATTTATAAAGAAAAATATTTTTTATAAATAGAAAAATACTCTCATGGTAGATTTTGTGCCATTTTGTTAAAAAGAACTTACCTCGAACATTTCTTAAGACTTCATTATAGTTGCTAATCATTTGTATGAGAGTTATGAGACTAGCCATGTTGATGATGTTTTATAAGAAATGGTTCTTGACTTATTTACCAGAAAGTCTGAAATATATCAATTTTGTTTATCACATTAAACAAATTATACTGTTGTAAAAAACAAGTAGTCGATGTAAATCCATCATAAATTTATATTCGCTTTGTTTTTGAAAAATCTTGATGCACATTCAATAAAAAAATCGTGCTGTTTTACTATTTTATAACATACCTATTATAATGTGTAACAAATAATATAAATTAAAAAGTTAAAATTAATACTTGATAAAATCCTAATAAATAAAAACAAAATAAATAAACAATACAATATAAGAAAGTCACTAAAATGAAAACTGAAATGCCAGAAACAATATGCGAAGTTATGTAACCGCAAATACTTAATTGCCCAACTAACTACAATATTCTTGTATAAAAAAAGATGACAAATATAAAAAAATAATAATTACCCGTTAATCATGGTCGATATTCATTCGTAAGGGAAGAAATAGCAGTACATTAAGGAAATAATGACAATTACCTGAGAGCCGTTCCTGATGTACGTACGTGCCAGTAAGATTTACGAAGACGTGTGTGTTAGCTAAACTGTTGGAATTGCATTTAAAATTTGATTCGCTCACTATTGGTTAGAGATCTTAAATCTAAATCATACGAGGATGTATACGTCATATGCATATAATGTTACATCCGGTTCTCTTTTATATAACTTTCATGTATATTCAATAAGTTATGTAAACTATAGATTTTCAGTATCTAAAAGGCAATAATTATATTGTATTAAAATAAAGCCTTGGAATATGTTTCCTCTGCCTATCTCAAGATTCACAGCTTGAATCTGATATCTCTGCTAATGAGCTCTTATGTCTATTTCTATCAATGGCCAAGTTTATACCCATCACTTGATATACGTATTAAATAGTAAATAACTAGTAAATAAGTCTGATTATTGGCTGATCAGTTCAAATATACTATTTGATACGCGTATCAAGAGATCGGTGTAAACTAGGCCAATGTAGATTAATTCGTAGCGAACACACTTTAACTTAAATGCTTAACTCAGCGACTTCAATCTTGGTTTAACTTACCTTTTCTAATTCTAAGAATTGGAAAAAGATAAAAGATAATTTTTCTAATTCTTAGAACTAGAAAAATATAAAAGGTAAGTTAAACCAACATTAAAATCAATTTACATTGGTAAAAAATAGACATTAGTAGGACATTATAGCTGACGTGCTATAAACTGAAAACTAAGTAACATCAAAATAAATAACTCACTTTGAATGATGACGTAAAGAAACTTTTATATCCGTTTCAAATCCGTATACGTCGATTATTTCAATTTCACCGGTTATCAATATCTTAGATATCAAATTAACGTTAAATCGACATCACCTTTCCGACTGGGTGTAGAGAACTGTCCTCTTCATTAAATTTTATTTTCGCAACAATTCACTTGGTAAGCAGAATTACAATACAACGCTGAGTTAACATTTAAGTTAAAGTGTGTTCGCTACGTATTACTAACGAGAACTGAAAAACTCAAATTGAAATAGATCTTCACATAGACAAAGCACAATACATTGTTAAAATAATGATAACCAAAGTCGATAGCACAATCGACCGATACCGGAAGTAATAATTAATGTGAAAGAAAAAAACTTAAAATTATTAAAAAAGATAAAAACAAGGTAATGATGGGTATGCGAAGAAGATAATCCATTTAGATAAAAGTAGGTTTTTTACTGCTATGTGGAAAATGTTTCAAGAGGAAAAATAGAGAAAGTCCTTTTCTTTTTTTCCATTAAAACGCAAAAGATAACATATTTCAATAAAAGTTAAACATGATATTATATAAGGCATTGCTTGTTAAAAAAAACTTTAGACATATTAATGATAGTAATATATACACATGATTTCTTAAGATCCTAAAATAGCAGTTGTGTAGCAGATAATATATATGGAAATGAAGAAGTTATATTCGTTATTTGCCTAAATATCTTAATTATGTTAATTTTACTAGCTGGTTACCCGGGCTTTGTTTGGGAGTCGTTTTTCTTCAAACAACTTCATTTGTGTTTCAATATCCTTAATCGAAAAAAATTTCTTTATCAGGCAATGGCTTATCATCAGGCAATTGCAAAGAATCCTTTATATTCATTTTTATTCAAATTTTATTATATTTATTTATTATTAATTAAATTATAATATTTCAAATTGCACAATATATTTTTTATTCAATACCGATTCCCAAAAAGATCGGTAACAAAAAACTATACACTCTATAGCACTCCTTGGAAAATTCTACCCTTATTTTATATACTTTTGGTAAAAATTCGGTCGAATAGTTTAAGAGTGTATAAAGACATACATCTGTATAGAACAATGAAGCTGTTTATAGGGAAAAATTACGTTTTCTCGTAACACGTGACGCGATCGCATCTTGAAGGAAATTCATACGGTGACACGCGAACGTTTCATACAATTACCTATTTACTTAAGCTTTGGCGCGCAATTCGTGAATGAACTAAGTGGCTGACACGACGCGACCTATTGTAAACATCACGAGTGATGCGTAGTTTAAACAAATATCAAGTCAGCATACTTAATCGGCTGCATATTTCGATATGCTTGAAATATTCTTCTCAAATATTTCTACGTTTCATAAAACAAATGACGGCGGAATATTTAACGTTTTATGACGCAAATTCGCACATTGACAAATTATGTCTCTTATATTTTCTTACTCTCTGTCTCTTATATTTTCATTCTCTGTCTCTTATATTTTTAATTAATTTGAATAGACAGATTATTAGTACGTACTTATTAAGTGCGCCAGTATGAAAAACTGTTATATAAAATTTGTTGTACAAAATTGTTTTAATATATCCAATCAAAAATATAACATAATTGTGCATTGCAACATAAATGATGTTAATTTTCGTAAAAAGAATGTTTAGATGAATAATAAATGTTGTTTAACATTTCATAATTTTCAAAATGTTAGAAATATTTTTTAAAAATGTTGAAATTAGATAAATAAAAATAATGATTGAGACAGGGTTTTATTTCTGATTTTATTATTAATTATAACAACCACCCTCACTTGACGCATCAGCTGGGTCCGTAGCCGTCGGAGCTCTAAATTTTAAAACAAAAATATTTGTTGGACGTCAATCAATTTTTATAAAATTGGTAAAAAAAAAAAAAAACAAATAGAACTCAAAGACGGATAGGTGAAAGGACCCTAGGATATAAATCGGATCATGGCAACGTTGAGGGGAATACAATTATACTGTTACATGATAAACGTTTTAAAAATTAAACGGTTTTAACCCCATCAAGATAATAGCTACGTTTTTTTTAAGCTGTCTAATATGTTATGTTTCCTTAATTCTTTGATTGCAATACGCTACAATTATAAATCTTCCAACATAAGGTAGGACATAATTATATATATAATTATTATTACATAATTGTATATGTTGCATATAGGAAAGATATTTCCAAAAGAATTATATTTAATAAATAATATATCATACATACTTGACATATTATGTATCCATATTTTGTTGTTTTATGTAATTACAGACTATAGAAGCTGTACAATTTAAGCTAAAAATTGTATACATAATAATCCACATACATACACAATTTTGTTATATAATTCTACCTCAACGCTAATGACTCTTTCTCTTTTTTCAATATTAATCTATGTTAATTACTAAATTATTTATTAAATTTTTTACTTATATATTAAATCTAAGACTTCGATTAAGTTAAATCCTGCAATCAATTAACGATTTTAACCATATTTTCTTACATACTTAAATTAAAATTGAATTTTAAATCTGATATCTAATATAATTATAAAACATGTATCTGATAATAATTAAAAATGATCTTTTATAGCTAATTATATTTATATCTAATGTATAAATATTGGAACTTCTTATATCTTGACATAAATATAAAATCTAATAATATTATGGAAATTAATAATAGTATTAATAATAGTATTATGAAAATTGTAATTCCTAATATATTAATTGCAAATTATTTAAAAACAACTAAAAAAACTTTTAGTGTTGTATTAAGAGAAATATTTAGATATTGATGTCGACAAAAAGATTCGAATATTTGAAAGTGCAATTTAAAATTTTATAGATAGATATTTTAATTAAAACTCAAAAATAAGCTACATAGAGATTCTATAAATTATAAATCTCATTTTCTCTTTATTTACATATATCTATATGTACATCTATTTATTACACACTTTTGCTATCATTTTATTGTTAAAAAATTAATGACACAATTTGAACATTACTGCACACTTTGTAGACTGTAGCCACTTAGTTTCATGTTTCCGTAATAATATTATTATTATTATTTGTATAAAACATTTAGTTATAAATAAATTTAAATTATTTTTTTGTATTTACTGATTGTTTGCAACATGTAACATTCATAATTAAGTTATTTTCTTTTTATATGCTTGACGATAAAAGTCACTAAATAGGTACATGAAGATTATTACGACTATTGTGAAGAAATAAGTTAGAGCTTTTGGTGTTCGACAATCCAAGATTAATGTTAGTACTAAGTAGACTAACATTAAAGCAAACTGCACCTGAAATTTAAAAGAATTTTAAGTATTAAATTTGTATAACGTTTCCACAATCTGTTTATTTAATTAAACAAATAATTAAAATAAAAATATATTAAACAAATTAAATAAGTGCTGTTAACGATATTAATGAAAAAGAACTAAGAAAAATGAAATAGACATTTATATGTATAATAAAATCTTATATCATTTCATATGTCTATTGCGCCAAAATTATTATGATAGAATATAATATAAAAATATTATACTTATAATATTTTTATGATTTATAAAAATACAAATCTTTAATTGGTTGTATTAGTAGATGGGCAAAAATTGATGTTAATAAAATATTTAAAAATCTGTAATAAAACTTTGACAGTTAATTATGTAAAAATTAATTACCAGCTGAATCCAAGTCATATATTTCTTCCACCAGAGATACTTTTTGTACTTAGGGCCAAGAGCCGCGATGAAATAATAACTGTACATAATAACATGGACCAATGAATTCAAGAAACCTATGATAACACCTTGTTCACCAGGCAGGAATTTCAAATAGCACCACGAGAAGACAGCCGTGATAGTATGATGGTAAACATGAAGAAAAGTAATCTGACTTTGCTTCTTTCTCAAAACGAAAAATACCTTAAAAAGCAAAACATTT